ATATTTACCAACCAGTTTTCCAGGGCAAACAGCCCTTGTTGTACAATTTGCCACTCTCGATAGTGTAACTACTCCAGCCCTAGTCAATTTCAAGCTACTAATATTAATTTACTAAATATAAAATCAAAAAGAAATGCCCACAACATGTAGTATACAGTGTTTCCACGACAGAGATATAACAACAACCTCAAGTACACAGATAACAGGAATATATAGTAAAACAGAAAAGGATGAGTTTTGAATATTTATTATTGTTTAAACTGTATTTAATTGTGAGTTTGTACAGTTTACTTTTTTAAATGGTTGTGTCTAACAATTGGCTCATAGCTCCAGCCCACTACCATCGTGGCTCAACCTCTCTAGCGGGCTCCCATCCCACATTACCACCTGCTCAACAACTCAGTGCAGACCTCTTCCATAAGAAACCACAAACTTGACATACTGAAGTCTGAAACACTTTCCTCTTTGAATCCCCTGGTACACACTTCTCTTCCCCTCTTGACTTCCCTATTTCTATTAATGGTGCTTCCAATGCTCATCGAATCAGTTGCTAAGTCTTGAAGACTCGGCCTGTGCAATGATCTTCTAATCTGCCTCCTCCTTTCCATGTCACTTCGGGTTACTGCCCAGGTCCAGACCAATTAACTGGCCTGTTCCCTTTAAGTCTTTTCTCAGTCCAGTCTCTCTGACATTATTGTTATATTAATCTTCCAAATACACAGCTCTGACAATATAACAATATAGCTCTTCTATTCAACACACACACACACACACACACACACACACGACCTTCAAAGCTTTCCTTGTTCCAGGTAATTTGGACAGTTCCACTGTGCTTGGAACAAGTCTGTGGTTTCTGATTGTGTGCTTTTGCTCACATTTTCCCCTTCCTCTACAATATTCTTCCCTCTTTTTGGAAAGACTCACACCTTTTATTTAAGACTCAGTTCAAATGGCAATAAAAAAATGTGAGTCGGTTGTCACAGGAATATACAAGTGGAAGAAGATTTGGAGAGTAGAAGCAAACAAGAAGTGTCAACTCCAGGAATTGTTTAAAGATTAAAAAGTTATTAAAAGGGCTGGGGTTGTGGCTCAGTGGTATAGCGCCTGCCTAGCACATGTGAGGCACAGGGTTTGATCCTCAGCACCACATAAAAATAAATAAATAAAATTAAAATATTGTGTTAATCTACAAGTAAAAAAAATTTAAAACCTTTTTAAAAAGTTATTAAAATGAATGTGATCATCATATCTTACAGAGGCTTTATGAAACATACCACTCTAAGGTAGGAATTATCCCATCGTTATTACTAAGAGGTTTGCTGGAAGCCAACATGAGATCTACCCCAAACCTATGGATTTCATTTATACATGCTACAGCTGTTCTTCATTAACTGAAATGATTAAGAATTGTCTGTACTTTACCCATTTGGCATTTACTGTAATTGTTTCCCTTCTAATGCTCTAAGCCAAATTGTGTTGAGGGGGTGGGAAGGGTAGGCGGTAGAGACATGGAGCCACTGAAGCCTGGGCTGACACCACCATTGAAAATACTTTTATCCTTAGGATGCTGATCACAGTCGTTAAACATCCACCACATGCCCAGGATTTCTCAGCAGTCAGAAGAGGCTAGAATTTGTGTCTTTTATACGCCTTTCTTTCTTCAGGCCTTCTCCAATGTTTAGAGTAAAATAAAATGTTTCATGTACCGGTTTTTTGAGGGGGAGAATTATGATCAGCAAATGATCAGGTGATTCCTTTTCCTTCAAAGCTTCAAATATGAGATTGAAGTTCAGTAGTAAAGAAACGAGGAATGAGCTGCTGCAGTCCTATGGTCGCAGGCACCAACTTTCTAAGGGAGATTTTGAGTTGTGGACAGCCTGACTCCTTAGCTCAGGAGAGGTGAGAGGGAAAGGAAGGCAATGCTAAAAAATGGTAAAAGTATATCAAGACAGTTGCAGTTATCAACAAGGGGCCTGCAGATTTTTTTCCCCCATGATCACCATTTGAATATTTGTTAAAATGAAGATTTTATGGCTCCACATGAGACCTACTGAATCCGTTATTAAGGAGACAGCCTAGGACTGTAAATTTTTCATGGGACCACCCACTGATTCTGGTATACACTAAATTTCTTTTGTTGGGTGTGTGTATGTGTGTGTGTGTGTGTGTGTGTGTGTGTGTGTGTGTGTGGTGTGTGGTGTATAGGGGACTGAATCCCCAGGGTCTTATGCATGCTAGGTAACAGCTCTTCAACTGGGCTACATCCCCAGCTGGTTCACAACAAAGACTGAGAATCTCTCTTCTGTTTCCAGCCAACTATGGCCTGCAGACTGAATACAACTTTCCAGTTAAAGATTGTTTTCAATTTTTAAAGGGTTGTGAGAAGAGGAAGAAGAAGTCAATAACAGACAAGAAAAGAAACAGAAGACTGTGTAATATAGCCCACAAAGCCTAAATATCTAGCTCTTTAGAGAATATAAATATATAATATCTAGCTCTTTACAAAAAAGTTCTCTGACACAACCAGTGTGTCACCAGAAAAAGGCTATATCTGAATTTAGCCCCATTCCAGTTAAAATAATGATGTAGCAGACCTTAAAAAAATATAGAAAGCAATGACATATATAAAATTGTTGCCGAAGAATACATTTATAACAATTAAAAAGTAGGTGGAAATACATAAATACAGTTATAATGAGCACTCTGTAGTCTTTAAAAATATATTTTCATCCATACAATAATTTTGATAATGCCACTTGATTTTATCCTTCCATATATTTGTCAAATGAGAATATATTAACAATTGAGTTAATAAAATTATTGCATGTATATATTTACTGGACTATGCATGCACTCATAGTAGAAAAAATGTAAAATTTTTACTGTGATACATAAAACAATATCTGAGGAATAACAATATTATGAATTCTCTAAACAACCCATATGAAAATGATTCACAAAGGGAATAAAGACAAATTGAATTTAGTAACTTTCTACTTAAAAGGAGTTTTTAAATCATGAAGTAGTTTTACATATTAAGAATTGGGGAAAGAGGCTATGAACTCAATTTAGGAAGGATTCAGATACTCACATTATGACCAAGAAGATCTGCAATAGGGAATCATGCCATTTAGATTCATAAAGTGATCCCAAAGTGAGAATGCAATTTCCTTAGGGGTAATTTTTAGATGTTTTGCCATTTATATTTTTTTAAAGTTTAGTTTTCATGTGAAAAAGTTCATTACAGGTGACAAGCTACTTGGGAGGCTGAGGTAGGAGGATCCCAAGTTCTAGGCCAGACTGGGCAACTTAGACTTTTAGCAACCTAGGGAGACCCTGTCCTCAAATAAGTAATGAGCAGGGGACATAACTCAGGGCTAGAGGGGTAGAAAAAGAAAAGAGAAAGAAAAACAGAAATAAAAGATATTTTTCATTATAGAATCTAGAAATAAATATTGGCCTTAAATAGTTATTTAAAGAGGGATGTCTTTTGGAATTATGAAATGAAATATCTTATTTTTTTTCTCAGTGTTTTCCCCCTTCAGGAAGAAAAAAATGTTAAAATTTTAGGAGCAACTAACATTTTAAAATAAAGAGGTAAACTGTGCAATAAATTTTAAGAAACAAAGCTTCAAACACTGAAGTCTTGAAACCTAGCATGCTTCACCATTTAATAAAATTATGACTCATTTTAGTAAGAACATGCTTTTTTAGTAAGAAAAATGCTTTCTGAGCTAAGTTTGAACTGCTGGGGCACATGGGACACCCACAAACCCAGTCAGCAGAAGTCTCAAACTCCTAAAAGATTAAAGGAAAAATAAATTAGTGTGTGCAGAGAATGAAAAAAAAAATCCCCAATGGTACTCATCTATAAACAGAAGTAAAACTAAAACTCCCCTAAAATCCCCCAATCATCAATCCTTATAAACTCAGCACTCCTCTCTTTACTTCTTCAGGACCCCTTAGTTAAGCGAACACGAAAGTCTGCTGACTTGTAGCTGATAAAACTGAGCCCTCAAATTACACTAAGCAGGGACACCGACCTCGGTAATCACAAAGTGTTTTAACTTTCAAAACCACTCATGCAAGCATAGGGTTTGCTGAATTTCGCGGGGGGCGGGCTGGCAGGAACCCAGTGGATTTTTTGCAGGTGTGTAATCAGTGTGATCCAGGGCGCGCGCACTATGCAGGGGGCAGAGGTGAGTGGAGAGCGCTGCCTGGGCGGGGCGGAGTGGGTGGGGCCGGGCGTGTCCCGGGGTGAGAGAGAAGGGCATGTGACAATAGGACGGTGGCGTGTGGGCTGCAGGATCTGGGAGGGGAGTGAAAGCTGGTGGGGGAGTCCTATATGCAAGTGGCGACAGCTGCAGGCCTACTCGTATTTGTGTCCCTTGTCACTAACAAATTAAAGATGTTCTATTAAAAAATTATAAAGACCTGGCCAAACATTCTGGGGGGGGGGGGGGGAACTCCCATCCTCTATTCACTCACCACCCAATTCCCCTATCTCCAGACGGCTGCGTTTTAAATCCAGTCTAAAAATCCAATCCCCAATGTAAGAGTACTCCCACACCCCTTTCCACCCTCGCAACTGAGAGCGCGGCGAGCTCGGGTTCTCGTGTCCCGGAGCACCCACAATGGGGCTACCGTGGTGCAGCTGCCCAGGAGAAGGGGAGGCAGCACAGCGGGACATGGCGCGGGCCAGCGTCGCCGTGGCCCGGGAGCGGGGTTTGCCCAAGAAAAGGCGCCGCCGCAGTCCCCGGTCGCCCCTCCCCGGGTTCTCGGCCCGCGCGCCTCCCGAACCTTGCGGCGCGCCAGGCGCAGCTCGGCGGCGCGAGAACCGGCTGGGAGCGGCGGCCCCTCCGGCCCAGCAGCCCGCCGGCTGCATCCAGGGCGACCGCGGAGGCGGCGGGCAGGGCGCGTGCGCACTGCAGGGGCGCCAGATTTGGCGGGAGGGGGAGTGTCCAAAGCTCTTTGTTTGATGGCATCTCTGTTTACAGAGTTTACACTTTAATATCAACCTGTTTCCTCCTCCTCCTTCTCCTCCTCCTTCGTGACCTCCTCCTCCTCCTCTTTCTCCTGAGAAACTTCGCCCCGGCAGTGCGGAGCGCTGCTGCGCAGCCCGGGAGGGACGCAGGCAAGGCGGCGGGCAGCGGGAGGCGGTAGCCGGTGCGTCCCCGCGGCTCTCGGCGGAGCCCCGCGCCCGCCGCGCCATGGCCCGGAGACCCCGGCACAGGTAACGGGGAGTCCAAGAGGGCGGCCCAGGGCAGGGACGCGCGGGGCACCAGGCGCCTAGGAGCAGGTGGGAATTGGTTCCCGGATCTTCTGTGGTGCTGTCAGAACCCGGGAGGACCTGGAGCCCCTGCCTCGGCCGCAGAAGCGGCTGGAGAGACTGATGAATGGAAGAGTCTCTGCGGGAAATGCATCAGGACATTGGGAAGCATGCCCCGCGGCTCTTTTTGCAAGTTGCACGGGTATATGTTTCCCTTTGGGGGGGAAAAAGAAGCACGTTCCAACCGGGGGCAGAGCGGTGTCCACCAGCCAAGGGGAGCCCACCAGGTGCCTGGCGTGATGCCCTGGGTGTCGGCAAGAGAGTCGCAGCCTAACTGCTGGATGCATTGAGATATGTTTGGATTTGAAAGTGCAGAGCATATGGCAGATATAGGAAAATGCCGGATTGTTTAGTAGCTGCAGGTAGTTTATTTAAATTTCATTCATTCATTATGGAGGCATAGAAGAGTGTCAGCTGACAGGCGGCTGGAAAGAAGGTTTTAGGGGACGAAAAGGCTTTGCAAATTGTTATAAGCCCTGGTTGAAGGTTCGAATTGTTATTCTCTGGAAGGTTTTTATTTCTACTGCAAACATTGCACGCGCACCCACACGCGCTCGCGCTGCACATGTCACCGCACTTGGGAAGGCTGGTTAGGATGATGGGTGAAATGCCCTTACATTTTGACCCTACAGATGGAATGAGGGAGAGGAGGAGGGAAATACTCATAGGAACTGTCACTTGCTGGCGGTCCAGCCTCTACCAGCCCCGGGGATTTTCCGGACTCTTCACGCCCCGGCTGCCTGAGAGAACAGGTTGCGGGGGCTGGCTCAGTGGCCATAGTGGTCGCCACTCAGCCCAAAGGGACAGAGGCCCTCAGCACCAAGGCCGCTGCTGCGCACCTGGGATGCAATCCCTGCGGGCTCTTCTCCTGGGCAAGAGATCCCGAGGCAGTGCGCACACGTGGACGCGACTGAGGTCCCTGCTCCTGCCCGCGCCCTGCTGCAGCTGCCTTAAGTCTCTCGGCCTCTGGAAAGGCGATCGGACCGACCTTCGCGAAGGCGTTCTGGGAAAAATCCCGTGAAGGCAAAGCAAACCCGCCTGCTTTTCTTCGGGTTGTTTGATTTTCTCATACTTATTTGTTTTATGTACTGGTGGGCATTGGTCCTCCTGTGGCTCTGGAAGTTGCAACGAGCGTGGGCGTGAGCCCTGCTGCAGAACCCCGAGGCTGGCCGGGGCCTGGAGCTACGCCTGTGCGTGCGTAGCTTGGAGTGGGAAGAAAAGGGGGTCGATATAGGTAAATCCCGGCCCCCTACCCCTCTCACGGGGGTCGACCTCGCGGGGCAAGGATGCCACCCCTTGAGAGGTTTCACCTTCGTTTTTTGGACTTCACAGGAAAGCAATCAAGCTCACCTGTTTTGTTGAGAGCAGAAACTAGCAATAGGAGGAGGGAGCTGGGAAGGGGTGCTGACCCGAGGCGCTCTCCAGGCTCCGCGCCCCGAGGACTAGGCTGCCCCCGCTGGGCGGGGCTGCGCAGGTTCCCCGCGGCTCCCAGGTAGCCCGGAGGGGAGGGGCGGGAGCCTTGAACCTGGCTCAGGGGGAAGAGAAACCCGGCTGCGGGTTCCGAGCCGTTTCTTGCAGGGCGAGCGTCAACTCGGCAGGGATTATTAACCAGGTCAGCGAAATAGTCTGAACCCCTTTTCTAGAATCACAGTAGCGGCCACAAGGCACTTCCTCCCGCTCCCCTCCCTCTTCCCAACCCCCAGCGCTTCTTTTCTTTTTCGTTTCTTTGCACGGTTTGTTTCCTTGACAGAATGTAATATTCATAGTTGTACTCTTGTAACCACACCGGGTCTAGCAGGTGGAGGAGTGCATCAAGCCTGAAATCAGCCTTTGAAAGTCCTTTGACTGTTGGGTCTGAGATCTTGTCAGAGCAGATAAAGGAAAAGTTATTTCAGGTCTTTAGCAGAAATTAATCATGCTACTGAGGCGGGCAGGACAATTTAGAGCAAGGAAATCAGATGCAAAGGTCAAAGGAGAGCCCCCGCGCGAAGCCTGCTGATAGCAGTCCTGGTCTGGTCCCGCTGTCCTCATGGCCCTTGCAGAAGGCACATGCCACGTTTTCCCCCAAGACCTTGGTTTTGCACAGTTTTGCCTATTTGCTTAATTTCAAAGAATCACAGAAGACATATAGGTATCATTCATGCACGCTGGAAAGTACCTTAGAAATAGAATCCAAACCCTAATGTATAAGCGATGAACCGAAGTCTCGAGAGAGAGGAAGTGATTTGGCCAAGTCACGCAGCTAGGCGGAGGCAGAACTAGGACTGACACCTTATCCTCTAGAGAACTCTGGTCCTGTTTGATTCCAGTTCTTTCTCACCTGAGATGGACTGCCCCCTGTGGGCAGCTGAATATTTTGCTTGTTTCTAGATTGTTGTTGCCAAGGGATATGCCCAGTTAATGGTTTGGGAAATGTCCACAGTTCAGGTCTCCAGGTCTAGCCAAACCTAAAAAGTTAATTTGAGTTGAGCCTATGACTCTACTTTCAAATTCCTTTGGTTTTCTTGCTATCCATGATACTTCACAAGGAGCTACTTCATTTGATGGCTTTCTAAGGAGTTTACTAGGAACCTTTCAAAAGATGCAGACTTACAGCTCTGGGCTTATGTTAATTTTTTGTTTATAATACTGTATTTTATGTTAAAAGGAAATTGTTTTAATGGTTATTGACTTGTCAATATTATTATTGTAATTATGATTGATTGTTTACTCCCTCCTATTTCCAGTACTAAACATAGACTCTTGTTTCAAAGGATAGAAACTAAATGAAAAAAAAAAGACTATGCTTTAATGGGATTTGTGAGTGTGTGTGTGTGTATGTGTGTGTGTGGGTGTGGGTGTTGGTAGTTGTACTTGAAGTTTAGATTACATCTTGTCACCATGCAACCTGGATCATCAGATTGTTTCTCAAAATAATAGTTTTAAACATTAGAATCCCAACTCAGAGTTTTTGATGAGCACTTCTGCCTGACTTGTAGGGAGTTGGTAATTTATGCTTCTGAGTTAGTTAGGTAAGATAAAACCTTTTATGAATGTAAATTTCCTTTTTTAAAATAATTTGCATTATGATATTGCTTTTATCATAAAGCAATCAGTCTCAGTTTGATGGATTTCTCAATATTACAATGACAAATTTTAATGAAGTTTGTAAGGTAGTATAGCTTTTCATATCTTGTTTTATAGAGAAAATTACAGCTGAGAGTAAGCTATGAAATTACTCTCATCTCTTCGGTATATGATAAATAAACTAAGTATAGAATTTTGTCAAAACTCATCAAAATTCATATTTTAGTCAACTAGTAAAGGGAAAATCTCTTTTGAAAACAATAATTTTTTTTAACCCATAGATTTCTTCTGGGGGAATCCCTTACTTTTGAATTGGGTACATTTTAAGATATTTTAAACATCACTTAGTCAAAGATAGAAAAAATAAGAGTAAAAAAGATTCTGACTATTAAGTGGCCTAATTATTCACTTAGTTACTTTGGAAACTGAGTCATGTAAACATGGCCACAGTTGGGTCCTTCAGGCCCAGGGTTTTGAACAATTTGATATTTATGTTAGTGCCAAAACACTTTGATCACTTGATGGTCTTATCCTTTCTCAGGCTTTAAAATCCTTTCCTCTTACCTTCTTGTAATCTTCTCATCTTAAGGAATGACTATAATTATATTATTGGATATATTATTTCTTGAATTTTTATTGTAATAAAATGCCAGCCCTGTTGGAATAACATAAGTGATTTGTTTGTTGTATTTGGGAGATATTACTTAAATAATGTGACATATCCCAGAGATTTTGAAAGTGCACTTATATAAAGGACCCGGGCTCTTATTCTTTTTCTTGTCTTAACATTAAGTTTTAAATTTAAACCTTCATTGGTTGGAAGGTTGCCAAATGTGTAACTTGTCACTGATCTAGCAATAAGAGCAGGTCCAAACATGCAGAGCAGTAAGACAGTGCCAGGTCCTTTGCCGTATCTGTGGATACCAATAACAGCAGAACCAGTTTACAATACTAGAGCAACAGAACGCAGAAAACAATCTTGTTGTGCAAGTTTCCAAAGTTTCATCTTCATAACCTTTGAAAAGCTTGTTGAGGAGTTTTTATGTAAGTTTTGTAATCCAATAGTTTAAATCCTCTTGTTTCAGCCCAAGTCTGCCATTCTTATTTCTGCAGCATATACAGTAGTGACGAGGATGATGAAGACATTGAAATGTGTGACCATGACTATGATGGGCTGCTTCCCAAGTCTGGAAAGCGTCACTTAGGGAAAACTAGGTGGACCAGGGAAGAGGTAAATAATCATATTATCAAAGCATGAAAAAAAATGGTAGTGTATAATTTATGAACAACAAAATTCCAGCTCAACTCCAGGTGCTATAGCTCATTAGGAGGGTCTTTGAAAGCTTGGCCTTGGCTGCTTATGTCCCCCACTCATCCACGTGTCCTCTCCTTTCTCCTTTATGTTCCATCTGTTTCCCTCTGCCTATCCAGTTCTCTCTCTTGAGACCCACCACTTCCTACCATTTCTTCATTAATGACAAAGATATGGCCATTCTGTAAAGCCATCCCTGGCTTCCTCCAAGAGGGCTGGAAGCATCCTTCTTCATTTCTCTGCCCTTGGGTATAGATTCTGCCTTAGTGTTGATGTGATAGCTGCATCTCTCCCAGGAGACTGCAAGCCTCTTGAGGGTAGAGCTAAACATCACTATCTTTGTATTTCCTGAACCCAGAATTACTCACCACTGCAAAGTAGGATGTTAATAATACTCCCTAAATAAATGAATGAATTGCTATTTCCAAAAACAAAACAAGGAATAAAACAAAACATGTATAGAACTTACCCCTTTATAATATATTCATTTAATACTCTTGGTATTGATCTTTCACAGATCCATATATGGGTATGAATGTTTGCTCTAAAACCACCCAGTAATGGGTAGAAGGATCACTGTTCCCCACATTTCTTTTTCTGCTAGTTTATCAAAAGGTTAATCCTTTCAAGAAAGGAAAAGTCCTTCTGAAGCTAAATTATTACTGTGTGAGGAAAATTTTCTTTTTTTAATGTTCTCCAAAAAATTGCCACCGATCATAGAAGATTTAATTTAAATATAAGTTATATTAACTCTCTTCAATTTCATTGCATTCTGCTTCATTTAAACCAGAGTACCTTTGGACAGACAGACAGGATTTCCAGGGAGGCACATGGGAAATTCATATTTTACCTGTAGAGATTGTGCACTTAGGATGATCATTAGGGAAATAGAAGTTCTGTTGTTAACCTGGTTCCTGGTTGTGTCTGTATTGTACCAGGGACCTGTATTGTGAATGGATGTTACCTTTGCAGAAACATAAAAAGCACATTGAGAACGACTCTTATGAAGTGATGGGACAGTGAATAGTGCATGAACTGAAAGAACCAATTTTCCATGAATGTTTTAGTGTCTTCTGTGTTCTAATATGCTTTGGCCTCATTTAAAACTGCATATATTGATAACAAAAACCAAATGACTTTATTACATTATATATGCATTCAAGTTTAAGTATCAAAAAAAGTTATCTTCTATTTTTTTAACATATGAAAGAGATTGAACCAACTGGAAATATTCTATTTTTTATTCAAGATCTTATCTATTATCATAGTTCAATGGCTACTGAGTCTAATATTGAAATTTATTTCTTCATCATTAAGTAAAACTCCTAACAGTTGTCATATATTATGCACTGAATAGGTGCCTGGGATTATTATAAATGTTTTGCATAATTACCCTGTGTAATCCCCAGACAATCCTATTGATATCAGCATTCCCATTTTATAGATAACAATAGTAAGGTCCGAAAAGGTAAAATAATACATGCAACTGGTATAACTAATCAATAGCTGAGCCAAAATAAAAACTCTAGTCTGACTCTAAATAAATCTCTGCTCTAGACCAGTATAATTTATTTTCTGTATTTGGATACTTTGAGTAGGGTTTTTTTTTTCCCCCTGGATCCTTGCATTAATTCCGTTGTTCAGTAGAACTTGAACAGAGTTATTCAGTAAATGACTGATATCTTAGGATTATCTTTAAATGTCCTAGGATGAAAAACTCAAGAAGCTGGTGGAACAGAATGGAACAGATGACTGGAAAGTCATTGCCAATTATCTCCCGGTAAGTTAGTGATTTATTCTCTTTGTAATAGAAAAGTTCCTCCTAAAGATTTAAATAAAATATTCTTATAGAAGCTATTAAGATAGCACATATTGCTCATATATAAGAAGTAGGGGGAGAGATGCCCTCTCATCATTTACATTTTGTAATGCATGTTTTGGGGGTTTCTAAATAAATTTTAAAACATTTCCACAACATCTTAAACAATTGCTTCTTGCTTATCTTTGATTTCTTGAGATAATATAAATTAACGTTCTGATGATTTGTTACGTAGTAGATGATTAAACTTGATATTTTTTCCTGTTCAGCTTCTGAATTCCCCATTTTTGTAAATAGCCATGTGTTTGGTACTCAGGTTTGAAATGCTAGGATATTTTTTACTATCCCATTCTGTTGTCCCTTATGTCTAAGCAGTTATGAAGAAAGCTGGAATTCCTTGGTAGTCTCCTCATCCTTTACACTCCATAGTTGGGTCACAAGATAGGCCCCCTGTTTTCTCATCTGGGCTATTCCAATGGCTTCCCCACTTGTAGCTTTCCATTTTTTTCTCCATCCCAAACACTATTGACAGATCAGCTTCCTAAAATGCATATGTATCTTATCTTCTCAAAAACAACAATAGTAGTTGGAGGTGTAGCTCAGTAGCAGAGCACTCGCCCAGTATGTGCAAGACTCTGGGTTTAACCCTTAACATCATAACCAAAACCCACCAATGGTGACTTAGTCTTTTTTTTTTCTTTTTTTTTTTTTTATTGTTGGTTGTTCAAAACATTACATAGTTCTTGATATATCATCTTTCACACTTTGCTTCAAGTGGGTTATGAACTCCCATTTTTAGCCCATATACAGATTGCAGAATCACATCAATTACACATCCATTGATTTACAGTCTTACAAACTAAGTAACTGCTTTGACCTGATACAGAGAGGTCCCCCTACATAGCCCCAACTTATAGCTCCCATGCTGTTTCCTACTTCTCTCCATAAGCTCATTTGGTGGAATTCATTTCTGCTTTCCTCCTCTGGAATTTTGATCCTTTCATCTCACCTCCTAGAATGTTCTCCTTTTCCTTCTCCAGTCAAAAGTTCTGACCATCCTCCAACGTCCACATCCAGAGCTCTTTTGGATTCCTTTCTTTAGAAGGAATTTCTCCTCCTAAGGGAATGCTTTACTCCCCACCTCCATGGCACTTTGCTTTGTGTCTCTCCTTGCATATGAATTGAATTCAGCCTTCTGTCATAATTAATTATATATTTGCCTTTCCCTTCATGTAAGATTGCAAGGTCCTATAAAGTAGGCCTACCTTTTATCATCTTTGCTCCTTCCACAATATAATGTCTTGTGCTCCTGAATGCACATCTCTTAGTTTGGGAAGCAAACTTTATTATATTCCTTTCTGGTGGGTTTCCATTGAAGTCTGAAAAACTGGAATTTCTAAGAAGTCTGTAACCATGTAGGTTACTTCACATGCCACAGACTGAGGTCAAGGTTAAGTTAAATTGACAGGCACAGGAGGCAAAGCTTCTAATTTTATATGCAAGTTTGATGTATTCTGTACATTCTTTAGCCTGTAAGTACTGAGGGAAAGGTGGGCTCTCTACACATGCCTTAAGGTGTTCTTGAATGTTTTCATTGCATATTTTCTCTGTATGACTCATATTAAGCAAAGTTTTCACATGCATATGGTGTTCTATCTTTATGATGGTGCATACTTTGTCTAGAATCGGACAGATGTGCAGTGCCAACACCGATGGCAGAAAGTGCTAAACCCTGAGCTCATCAAGGGTCCTTGGACCAAAGAAGAAGATCAGAGAGTAAGTTTTGTTTTCATGGATGTGTGCATTAAAGTTAAGAATATTCCCCAGACATCTTTGTTGGATGTTTCCCCAGCCAAGGAAGCAGGTAAAGTGAGCAAACAGGAAGTAAAGGACTCTGGTCCCATATTTCCAGTGAATGGAAGCAGACTTTTAGAAGTTTTCTAAAGAACTTGTAACACTGAAGAATGATTAATGACTCATTACATAACATTAAAACACAGGTTATTTTTGTGTGTTTATCTGAAGGTGATAGAACTTGTACAGAAATACGGTCCGAAACGTTGGTCTGTTATTGCCAAGCACTTAAAAGGGAGAATTGGAAAACAATGTAGGGAGAGGTGGCATAACCACTTGAATCCAGAAGTTAAGAAAACCTCCTGGACAGAAGAGGAAGACAGAATTATTTACCAGGCACACAAGAGACTGGGGAACAGATGGGCAGAAATCGCAAAGCTACTGCCTGGACGGTAATACTATGTCAAAAAATATATTGATTGGGAAGAATGAAGGAGCGGGATTCTAACATTCTGTTTTAAATGTATGAACAAATTACATACCATCAATAATGTTTTATTTAGAACCAGAAAATATCCTATAGTTTATCTAGTGGAGGACTTTTAGGATCCAGCCAGTGGTGAGCCTTGGGCTAAAACTTTGAACTTTACTTAGCCGTGGTTTCCCCATTTGCAAAAATAAGTAATAATCTATATCACAGAGCCAATGTTAGGATCAAAGTAAAATAAATGTCAGAGCACTTTGTAAACTGCAGAGCTCTAAACACAAAAGGAAACTGAATGTAGACAGTCTGTCCTTGGTCTGAATTCATTCGGCCAATTTAGTGACTGGCTACCATTTTGGCAGTTGCTCAGCTATTATTTTCCAAATACCTGGCTTCACTTCATTATGCTACATGATTAACTTTTTTTTTTTTACTTTGAATAAAGAAATAATGTATTTCTAGAGTTATCATACTTTTTCCAGGTTTTTAAATAATGTCAATATAAAGCTTTTTTTTCAGTGAACAAGGCAAGAAAATGATCTTATTATGAGGAATGACTATGGAAGCTCATTTTTGTCCCATATTCCTCCCTTAAGTAATATATAACTGAATTTTCTTACTTTGGAAAATACTTTTTAACTATAGATTTTAAGGTAGAAAATATTAAAGATATTTTTATTCTTGAGCTTCTTAATATAAAAATGGAGAAAGGGTAATTTCAAAGATGAATTATGCTGTGTTTTCTTGTGATGCTCCAAAGCATTTCCTCCCTCGGGGTTTAGTAAAAGCTTAGAAAATCCAAGAGATTTGTCAAAGGTGGCCTTTTCTCCCCTATGGAGGATATACTATTGCCTCTTCTAAAAATTAAAGGGGTGATTCAACTTCCTCTTACTTTATCACACATTCCCTCACCCCCATGAAAATAGGGAAAGGTAGTCTTAAAATGGTTTTTTGGTTTTGGGTTTTTTTTTTTTCTTTTTTTGAATTGAGAAACTTCCCGAGAATGGAAAGACATTAATGAAAATGCTTTGCAGTTTGAAAATATCCGGGAGTTATCATTTTTCCCTTTTTCCCTTTCCTTTCACCTCTGTCTGGCTTGTAAGAACAGTGGATGCTTTTCAAAAGGTAGGAAGGGTTTTTGACTCCAAATTTCTCACTAGTGATATAAGAGTTAAAGAGTAGACACTGAGACAGTGTCATTGTCATTCCCAAACACTGCCAAGTCCCTGATTTTTGTGGTGGGTAGGCCCTGCTAAGCCATTCTTGAAGGAGTAATTGTTTTAGGACAGCTAGAACTTTTAGGTTGTATTTGAGTCTTGTACCACAAATGGTCAGGATCAACACTGAAAGGTTATCGTGTTGAAAATACTCCCTTACCTCAGACACAAAATGATGAAAAGATACCAGAGTTTATAGAAAGATCCATACATTCTAGATTATATAAATAAGAGAAATCTATGGATTTTTAAATTTGGCTACAGGGAAAGCAAGATCTTAGCAGGTGGAAAAGAACGAAACAATTAAAAAGAGAAAACAACTGTTAGTGGAACCAAAATAAAGATTTCTGTTAGAAACAGTTTTCTGTCAATTAACTCTAATCTGAATTGAAATTTTTGTTTGTAAAATTTTTATGTGCTATATTTCTGTGCAGAACTGATAATGCTATCAAGAACCACTGGAATTCTACAATGCGTAGGAAGGTGGAACAGGAAGGTTATCTGCAGGAGTCTTCTAAAGCCAGCCAGCCAACAGTGGCCACAGGCTTCCAGAAAAACAATCACTTGATGAGTTTTGCTCATGCCCCACCTTCATCTCAACTCCCTCCAACTGGCCAGCCCTCAGTCAGCAATGACTATTCCTATTACCAAATTTCCGAAGCACAAAACGTAAGCCATTCCTGAGAATTTACTTTAGTGAAAGACATGGTTATTTTAGCTACCGATAATAATAATACTTGTGGTTATATTGTTTTCAAAGAGCTTTCCTAAACATAACTAAGATCAATCTTCACCTATACCCCTTGAAATAGATCAGGGTAAATATGGGTATCCCTGAGTCATGTGTCTGGAAATGAGATGGTTAAGTGATTCTGTCCAGGATTACAAGTCATGGTATTGCCAGGTAAAATCCAAGTTGTTTGATTCTAACTCACTACTTCAATTCTAATTTAAAATTAGAGTTTGGATGTAAATTTTCTTAAAGTACTGCTGAAGAAGAATGGGGGAAGGGAAAGATACATTTATAGTCTAATATTTTTCTCTTCCAAAATGAAAAGTGAATGTAATATTACATTTGGAGAGAAAATAGCTTGACACCAATGGATAGGTTGTTAATTCTGTTAGTGGTCTAGCCAAAATGCAGTTATTGATTCAGTAAACGTTTACGTTTTTACTCTGATTCAAGAGCAGAGCTTTATGGCATTGATACTCCAATGTTCCCTTTTATCTTTCTTTGGATTAGTGTGATTCCTTCCTCATTTCTAGACATTTATATGTATGGAAAGAAAGGATTTTTAGTGAGTGGAAAAGAAGAAAAATCAAGGAATGTTAATCTTTGAACTAACAATAATAAATGATGAAATTTATCCAAGAATACAGACCTCATACGCAAATGTTAGGCAAAACATATTCATGAGTAGTTTTTACTCTTCTTTCTCTGTTCCATGGATTTGACTACAGACTTTCCAGAAAGGTCTCAGGTGAATGGATTATCATAAGAGGTTTTGTGCTTTTTATCGAAACATCATAATTATTCTCAGAAAAATATTTTGTTACAATCAGCTAGTACCATCTCCTTTTCCCATGAAAACGTTTCATACATTCACAAATGTATTTTAGATTATATTTCCATCGTGTTTTTTTCTCTAAGGAATGCTTCCTGTTGGGACTGATGAGTACCTTAAATTTCTTTCATTGTATTGCTTTAGCTGTTCAGCCATTTTTAAAAGGCCTGGCTAAACTTCAAATTAAAGTAGGTTTTTTGTTGTTATTTAATTGTTTAGAGAATTTTATCAGTAGAGTACTTTTCCCCCTTCAGTCCCAGAATAAAACCTCAGGAAGTCAAATCCCCTGAAGCGTATGTAACCATGAATGACTCGGCCTTTGTTTTCCCTTTTTTGATCTAGGTCTCCAGTCATGTTCCATATCCTGTAGCTTTACATGTAAATATAGTTAATGTTCCTCAGCCAGCTGCTGCAGCCATTCAGGTAAGATTCTCTTATAAAGAAACTCATTATCTGGGCAAGGCAGTGCTTTTAAGAAATACTTTATTTCTTTTATGTAGACACTTATTTTCACCTGAGCAGCTGAAGTAAAAAGAAAAGGGAATAGTAGAGAGGAGGGTAAAGTTCAGGCCAACAATCTACCAATCTTGGCTTCTTGGAGGGTTTGTTCTGGAGGGTTTTCTGATGTTCATTGTTTCAAGTTGAAACAATTCATTAGGCAGCATCCACTCTATAGCCTCAGATTTCCCATCACTACCTTAAGTTTGAAATCTCATTCAGAAAGATTTCTGTAGTGGAAATATTTGACTTGTCTTGGTTTTACACTGAGGCTCCTTGGACTGTGTGGTGGTACCTTAAGACTCCAGGCTACAACCACTTTCCAATCAGACCTTTGCTTCCCCTCCCCTTAACTTCTAATTTCAGAGACACTATAATGATGAAGACCCTGAGAAAGAAAAACGAATAAAGGAATTAGAGTTGCTCCTAATGTCAACTGAGAATGAGCTCAAAGGACAGCAGGCATTACCGGTAAGAATGTCACTACGTACTTGGGGGGATGGTTTGCAGCTTTACCCCAATACTCTTCTGTATCCTTTTTCTTCTCTTCTAAATATTACCCCAGCCACAATTCTATATATCAGTTAACTATGTTTAAACAGAAGTAGTTGATAGTAAAAAAAAAAAAATACTGTTGGTATCAGAATGTGTATTAACTATGTAATGCACTCCACCATTGTCATGTATGTAAGAAATAAATTTTAAAAAGAATGTGTATTAACTAAATTGGAAGTAGTCTTTTTGTATTACAGTAGAAACAAAATTCATTTGTGCTTTTCATCAAGCCATTTTTTTTCTCCAGGACTGTAATCAGTTAAAAGATTAGCAAGAATAAAATAAAAGAAGTGCTATATTTTTTTTTTTACAAAGCTTTGTACTATATGCTATTTGTTTAACTTTTTTTCTTTTTCTCTCACTTTCTTAATCTGTCCTTGTTTTATAATTGCAAACATGATTTGATGTACATTCAGTATTAATGTAAAAAGATTTATGTATATTTTATATACTTATTATTAAATATATATTTATTATATTTTTATTTTATATACATATTTTTATATGTATAGATGTAAAACACTGATGCATAAATAACACTGGTCTTTTTTGTTTGCATGCATGAAAGTTGTGTGGATCATTACTGAATTCTGATATCTTTTTTAATAATTGGGCAGCAAACTGAGAAAGCAGCTTGTACTTTGTAACAAATCTAGTTAGCCAACAAAGTGAATAAAAGAGAAGTGATACCTAGTAGGTATTCTTAGGGGTAAATTTCTTTTTTGTTAAATAATAAAATGATTATGTGCACATGTTAGTTTGACCACTCAACCACTTTTTAACTTTAATGTTTTGCAATTTCTCCTGTTGCGTGGTCATGCTGAAAGGAGACTTCTGTTAATTTGCTCTTCTGCTTTCCTAACCACGCTGATTTGGCAGCCCTTCACTGCCTCGGTGCAGTCTACATCCTTAGAAAGGGATAGAAGCATCAGGAACATGTACACAGAAAAGCAACTTAACCTCTTGAGTTCTCTAGCTTTTTAGTAGGTTAGAATGCAAATAAGACAATTCTTAACTCAACATTGATGGACCTTTTGCGAATTGTGTTCAAGTTGATTTCCTAAGACAGTCAGTATGAAAACTTTGTACTTTGTAGCATAGTTTGAAGTTTTAACAAAATGATAACAATGAAGGTAATCACATAAGCATAAACTCTAGTACTGTTAAAAAGCAGGGGCTTGCATTGACAAAAAGGAAACATCTTGACAACTGTTTCATAGGCATAAGTTTTGGATGATGCAACTACTTTTATCTTTCCTCCAACAGCATCAGATACCTTGTGCAACATCATTGCTTTAAGTTCCTTCTTCCTTTCTTTTCCCCCACTTTTTCTTTATTTCTACACTCACCCCACCCCCCCTTCCTCAGACACAGAACCACACATGCAGCTACCCAGGGTGGCACAGCACCTCCATTGTCGACCACACCAGACCTCATGGAGACAGTGCACCTGTTTCCTGTTTGGGGGAACACCACTCCACTCCATCTCTGCCAGTGGATCCCAGCTCCCTACCTGAAGAAAGTGCCTCGCCAGCAAGGTGCATGATCGTCCACCAGGGTACCATTCTGGATAATGTTAAGAACCTCTTAGAAGTTGCAGAAACACTCCAATTTATAGATTCTGTAAGTAGAATTACTAAGGCAAGTTAATGTTTCTGGAAGGGATTTAGAAAACTCATTTCATAACTCTTTGCCGTTTTCTATAGTAAATGTTATTGGTCTTAATTCATGTATAGGTAAACGTATGAATTTAGACTTAACAAATATATTTTTGCAGAGATCTCATATCATACCCTACCAAGACAAAAGACAGCTGTTAAACTTTTCCTTCAAAAGGCATATTTTAAAAAAAATAAAGCTTATAAAGCAGGACTCCAGCTATCCTTCAAAGAGCATATTTAAAAATAATAACAATAACAAAGCCAATGACTTATAAAGCAGAACTCCAGCTATGGAATTGGTGTTTGAGTTACTTTTAAAGGATCTTTTATTTTGCTTACTTCTTTGTGCTTCTCTAGAATATTGCTTTGCTTTTGGATAGCATATTAAGAATTATGTTTACTGGGAACTTAAAGCAATCTTCCAGTGTATTTGAAATAATCAGTTCATTGGTAGATGTGGCTTTCTGTATAAAATACCGAACATTAATTATCCGTCCCATTGGTTCACCAAGATAAATCATTCTTAGTGAAACAAACTGGAGTTCAGCCCCCACTCAGCAGACACTCACTTCATTTCCTGGGTTTCCTAGTTGGTTAAAAAACATTTATTGTGTACTTGCTGGAAAGGGCATGGATATCGCCACTGTGTGCCTTCTAGAAAGGTTTTCTCTTTGCTCTATATTGCATGTAAATGATAGGATGTCAGGAGCTCCCCACAGCACATCTGTAGGACTAACCTCGAGCAGTTCCTGCTAATGCAGGGTGACAAACGACTGGTACCCTTGCTGCTGGAAAAAGTTCACCATATGGGCCCCAGGTTTTCTGTGCACTTAGCATGTCTTTCTCAGTGCTGTTTCAGGTGATGATGGCACACAACTTGCGCACACTGTCTCAGAGTTCTGTGCCTCCCACATTGTTTCAGGATTCTTCATCATGGTGTGATCTCAGCAGTTCTGAATTCTCTGAAGAAGCAGCTTTTCCACCTAGACAGCATTCCGCAGGCAAAGGGCTCCAGCTTCAGCAAAGAGAGGGCAATGGGAATAGCCCTGTAGGAGAGCCTAACCCGAGGGTGAACAACCCTCCCAAGGCTTTACCTCCTGCAAAGCACAGCACAATTCCACTGGTCATCCTTCGAAAAAAGCGGGGCCAGGCCAGCCCCCTAGCCACTGGAGACTCTAGCTCCTTCTTATTTGCTGACGTCAGCAGTGCAAGTCCCAAGCGTTCCCCTGTCAAAAGCCTGCCCTTCTCTCCCTCGCAGGTAGCACACAATTTCTGCACAGCTGTTACTAATTTGCAACAGACACCTGAGCCTTAATAATCTAGAAACTAATCCTTTGGAACAAATGACTACTGCTGCCCTTGCTGATTTCATTCTGGCACTGAATCTAGCTGTGGCTGAGACCTGTTGCCTCTCAGAGCCTAGGCTGGCTGCAGGCTAGCTGATGGTTTTGTCCTGATTCTCTCTTACTTTATTTGGAAGATAGTTTGCATGGGATATGCTCTTATTTCCTTCTACCCTAGAATTTAGCATTTCTGTCTCTTTCTCTAGTCCTGTGTGATCCCTTTCTTTTAAAATATTAACATGTTTTCTGCCTCTTTGTTCATTTATCATTATGTGATTCACTGACCCCAGAAAGGAGGGAACCAAATTATGAAAACATACCATTTGGGTTGCAACTGGAAATTTAGATTCCAATCTCTCTTTGAGTGGGAAGGTGGAGGGAAAGGATGAGGAACAAACGCTTAAGGAAAATTTAAAATTTTCATCATTGGCTCTTTTGAGATGTGTCATATTTTACTAGTGAAGCTTTTGCCAAAGAATATTCTCATTTCATATAGTGTTTCTAAGGCATAGAAATTATAGTCTTTATCAGACACTTGTGTTCCTAAATTATTAAAATAATTGAAATTAATAGATAATCCGGCACTTTAAAATGTTTTTCCAATTTTTTCTGTTGCGTTTGTTTGGAGAATAGCTTTAAGTATAAACAAATGATACCTCCACCAAAAAAATATATGTATACATACATATGTATATACATACATATTTGTATATAAGTATATATATGTACACATATGTGTGTATATGTACGTGTGTGTGTGTGTGTGTGTATAGGGTTTTTTTTGTCTGTATTTTCCAAGCAGTGTTTTGCAGAATGTTAGTTCTGCAACATTTTAATAGATGATGTTCCAGAAAAAAGTCTAAGTATATAGGTATGTACATCTGAGAAACATGGACTCAAAGTTAAAAACAGTTTCTTTACACAAGTACCCTGAGTTAGTTTGTTGTCGTCACTGTTTTTTGTTTTGTTTTGTTTTGTTTGTTTTTTGGTTTTGAGACAGGGTCTCATAAGTTGCCCAAGCTCCTATACCCAAGTGATCCTACCTCAGCCTCCTGACTATTAAAAGAAATACTTTATAACCTTTTTAATGTTAGTAAAGGGCATGTCTCATTTTCTTTAATCGCAAGTGTCTTTTATTGATAATATTTTCTTAGGATTTTGCGAGTTTTTCAGTATTGACTCTAGTTTTATTTTGGATGCTCAATTGAAGTAAATTAATACCCTCTTCAACACCATATGATTGTTAATATCTATTATTTTGCATAGTGGGTCAGTAAACCATACTTGCTTATTATCTAGGTGTGATTTTGAAGTTGGGCTGAGTAGAGAATCACTGTTTAATCTAAGTAGTTCTTTTCTCTCTCTCCTGTGTTTAGTTCTTAAACACTTCCAGTAACCATGAAAGCTTAGACTTGGAAACACCTTCTTTAACTTCCACCCCTCTCAATGGTTACAAATTGACTGTTACAACACCGTTTCATAGAGACCAGACTGTGAAAACTCAAAAGGAAAACACCATGTAAGTTCTTGGATCAAGAAAAAAATATTTATTTATCTTGGTTATAACTAATTAATGGAATATAACCCCCAACTATCTGATATATTTGTATGTAAGTAATTTGCTAGTGTATTTATATGTATTAAAAATATTAAATATTCCCAGACAGAATATGTCTGTCCTAGGAATGTTAGAACTAACTAGAAGTAGAAGCTGGGAAAATAAACAAAATTGCCTTTTATAGTTCACTCCAATTTCTGTATATGCAGAGGCAGTTTTAATAAAATGTTTCCATCTAGTTTGTTTGTTCATTCAGTCCCTACTGAATTTTTCTCTCACTGAAAAAGATTTTCAGCCTTCTTTCTTCTCTGATTATAAGCTTCAAAATAAGATTGATCGTGGTTCTTTACATAGGTCGTATTTTTACTCTTAAATTTTCTCTGACATCTTCAGAAATATCATGATTAAAAGCCAAGGTGTGATTAAACAATCATTTTTATTTGATGAAGGCTTAACCTATTCAAAGAAATGGAAGAGAAAATCAGTTTGAATTATAAGAAACCTTTGAAGGAAATCCATTCTTATTACTTCCAAATACAAAAAATAAATTTTAAAAGGTTAACATGTTTTCTAGTGTGAATCTCCTTTTAATGAATATATAAATTGATTTGTCAATGATATCAGATATGGCAAAGTTTATTATAGTTCTTATATAGATTGAGGGCATTTTCCCATATCCTCAGAAACATCAGGAAAGATGAATAATATTTTAGCACTTTTAGTCTTAAGGCTATATAATATTTTGAAATATTATATACTATTATTATATAATATTATATATAATATTTTGAAGATATGTCTACTATTATCTTCTCCCTAGTGAATGGATATGATTTATAAACATATCCAATTCCGTACCAGTGGTAGAGTTTATTGGAAAAAAATTAAATTTGATAGATAAAACAAAGTGATGAGCATTACATTTCTTTTATATTAAGCCACTGCTTGTTCTCTTTTTTAAAGGTTTAGAACTCCAGCTATCAAAAGGTCAATCCTAGAAAGCTCGCCAAGAACACCCACACCTTTCAAACATGCACTTGCAGCTCAAGAAATTAAATATGGTCCCCTGAAGATGCTAGTAAGTTTTGGAAAAGTCCTTGAGTGTGGTTGACTTATTAGCATAGATAGGAATTTTCCTCTGATGCAAAAATGTCCACTCTTCCCTACAGCCTCAGACGCCGTCTCATCTAGTAGAAGATCTACAGGATGTGATCAAACAAGAGTCAGATGAATCTGGCATTGTTGCTGAGTTTCAAGAGAATGGCCCACCTTTACTGAAGAAAATCAAACAGGAGGTAAGTATAAGACCCTATGGAAGGAACAAGCTGTGACTCCTGCTGCCTTTGTTCTTTCGTGCATTTTGATGTGCCTGGCCTCGATGCTGTGCGACAGCACCACTTCTCATGTAAGATTTTCATACAAGATGCATTCAAAAGGTACTGCCAGAGTGTAGGCAGCAACCTTTCGTTTGGAAAGCCAAGCCACTTCTATCAACTTTATATAGAGAAGATGCTAGGATAAGGGAAAGAGAGGGCAGAAGCTTTTTATTATACTTAAAAATATAGATAGATGATAAATATTCCATTTTCTCTCTCCCTTTTTTAAGGGAATAAGAAACAGTTTATTCTGAGCCAAATATGAATGACTATCACTGGGAACACAAATTCAAGTTACCCTGAATGACATATTCCCTCACTTTCTGAGACCATAGAAAAATAGGAATTCACACTCAAATGGTAGTATTTTAAATTCATAGTATAGAAGAAAGGAGATGTAACCTGCAAGGATCAAAGTAGCTTGTTGGCAAGAGGCATCTCTTAACAAGTTGGATAATTTGCCTCTTGGATTTATTTTCATGCAAGGTTGAATGTTTGAGAGACTGACCAGAAATTTACTACTGAGAATAAATATTTCATGAAAGTAGTACTGGTAGAAATGACAAGCACTTGCTGTTTGCTTTTAGGTAGAATCTCCAACTGATAAAGCGGGAAACTTCTTCTGCTCAAGCCACTGGGAAGGGGACAGTCTGAATGCTCAACTGTTCACACAGGCATCACCTGTGGCAGAGGCACCACCAGTAAGTACCCATGCACCAGTGCCCAAGTTGCTCCACTAGTGACTCAGAATCCTATGTGTGGTATGTGGGGCCATTGTGGTTTCAATACTCACTCTTTAGTGCATCTGGTTTCAAAACAGCCTCTCATGCATTTTAAAAAAAAAATGATTATTAATGTTAGAATATAAAGTTGAAATTTTTGTTTATGTATTCAAAACAGATTCTGTCTATATTATTTAGTAGATAAAGACCACAATAGTCTGTACATATCAGTATATGTGGATTTTCTTCCCAAGGTTTGGTTCTGAATACATGGGTGCATAGGGCCAACAGGATTGCCTTGCCTTGGTTCCATCATTTTTCCAGTTTACTATTAGTGAATAGTTGCCCTTATATCTTATGGAGAATCTAAGCAAACAATAATTACTAATACTTATTCAGTATGTATTAAGTGGTGAGTCCTAATCTAATGACTTTAGATGAGTTAATTCATGTAATCCTTGCAGTAACCCTATAAGATTGATAACATTATCACTTCCATTATAGCAACTAGAAAATTTGGTATCTTAGTCATTTATTCAAGTTTATATACCTCACGGGGCTGGTACTGGATTAGAACTCTAAAAATGTGGCTCTAAATTCTAAAAATCCATAGAAGCGTGGCTTTTTGTCATTGAACTATACTGCCTTTAATACAGCTATAAAATATTTCTGTCTCAGTATATGAAATAAACAATCCATATCCAAGAGCTTAGAATATCCTTTAGTTTTAAAAGCATGGACTTATGAATTCATTTAGAAGATGGATTTTAAGTGCATACCCCAGGCTTAGAATAAGATGGGACCCAAAGCTTTTTGGGTTCTGGTGGTGTTTGCCACAGTGGTGTGAGGGTTAGTACATCATTGAGTTCTCCTTTTAGCTCACAGGGAAGAAACTTTCTGGAAGATGCCTGCATTTCTTCATGCTAATGAGTACCATCTCATAGTAATCTCCTCTCAACAGTGTTAGGATTGTTGGCTTTCATATTATCCAAGCTCATTTAAATTTCAAATATTTTCTTTCTTTTTAGAATATTCTTACAAGCTCTGTTTTAATGACACCAGTATCAGAAGATGAAGACAATGTTCTCAAAGCATTTACAGCACCTAAAAACAGGTCCCTGGTGAGTCCCTTGCAGGTAATTATTATTCCATCACTGGTGTCTTAAAATTCATTCACTGAAAAACTGTTATATTATTGTTGTTTTTAACATATTAGACATAGAGGAGTGGTGTCTTAAAGTGACATCTAATGTCTAGAAAATCTCTTCTAATTTTTGGTACTACTCATATGAGACAGGCTGGAAATTTTCATGAGAGCTGGTCCCCCAAGCATGATGAAGGAAAACATGTTTTTACTGTGACTAAGATCATTGATCACCCTTGGGTCAGTATCTCCTTCCTCTTGAAAACATTTTTTTAAATGTCTACATAGTTTACTTTTTGTTTCAAAATTCTTGTTTTCTATGCTCTATCACTAGACAATCAAAGCTCTGAGATTGGTTAGATTTTAAATGAAATGTGAAGTTATCTAGACAGAAAATAATTGCAATGTATTTGACCATCAGAATAAAAAAAGCAACTGTCAATGCTTGTGACTAATCCATGATGGACCATCTGCTCTCAGGTTTTAATATCAAAGGAGATTTTCCTTATAACCCTGAAGTAGATGTGTGTTGAGAATATACAACAAATTCCCAAACTAATCCGAAGCCAAATGTAAATAAGAATGCAAATTTGTTCCCACAAATTATTTAAAGCAGTTCCCAACATTAACAAGCCAGCTGTAGGGTCCTCCCCTCAGTCCTCCTGTGCTACTCAGAGGAAAACCCCCTCACTCTCCTGCAGATGGAGATTCAGAAGGGGAAAGTCATATTTGATGCTGTAGGTTGCAAGCACTGTAACTGGAGTGGCCTGATCCCTTATAGAACTTTTTTTGTCATAGTCTGGGCCTTCATATTCCAACTTGTGAGCATCTTAAAACTCCCTTCTTAAGTATTTGTGACACTTAGAATTACTTTTTAAAATATGAAAATACAGCTAGAAAGATTGTAGGCACATTTGTTTTTAATTCAGTGAGATCACTTTCCTGTGGCCTCTCTCAGATACCATGTACTTTGGTAAAAGATGTCTGGGGGCTGGAGTGTGGGACAGGGAGTGTCAGAACATGTGGACAGTCAGAAGTTCCAAGTTAGTCAGGCTTGGGCAGGCCTTCTGTGGAGAGGACTCAGCATATCACACAGAATTGAGAGGTGAGAAAATAAACACCATTGGGATGTTAGAGGGGCACTGAAAAGGGATTAGAGGCTTGTCTGGGCAAAGTGGCAGCCATTTCAAAATTTTACCTAGACCTGATCCTGGATCTACAAGAGAAACCCTTTCTTTGTTTTTCTTTGGTCCTTGGTATCCAGAGCATAGAATTTGACTGATGCTATTAGTATTTTAGTTAGATTAAGAGATGAACTTAATAGTTAAGTTTTATGCATATTTTGTAACCTAGCCTGGGACACAACCTGTATTTGTAGTAGTAGAGAAAAAATGCATTTTAAGCTGATTATGATGGCATATATCTATAATCTCCCAGCTACTCCTGAAACCGAGGCAGGAGGATTGCAGCCTCAGCAACTTAGTGAGACTCTTTTTTTAAAAAAAAAAAAAAAGCTGGGAATTTCCAATACCACAAAAACAAAATAAGAGAAAAATGCATTCTGTGTGTCAAACAGCAAGCATGTAAGTATATCTGGAAACAGTAATCATTACCTAAATTGAAAAACCCTGATTATTTTTCTAACATAGAATCCTAATAACTTTTGGCCAATCCAAACACTGTTTAGGCAAAAAACATTCAGAATTGAATATGATGCTGATATAAAATATATGTTATATAAAATATATATTATGAGTAATAATGTCAATATTTATGAAAATAGTTTGATATTTTTTGCCACAGGACTTTTAATGTTATTCAAGTTTTAAAAAATTTTAGTATGGGAATATATTAACATTTAAATTTTATTTAATGAAATATTGGTTATCTTTGAAACTCAAAATTGAGTAGCAGCTCTATTTTGTTAACCTGTGTTTTCTAGTACACAGTGGGTTCTATTTGCACACATTCTAATATCTGAATGCTGAAACTAAGTCCTGTATGTACATTCCATGGTGAAGGTAGTATTTGTCACTTCCGACAACTGAATAATTGAGACATAACAGTCAGTGCTTCTATATATACTGTATGGTTTACTGATTTACATTGATCAAATATTTTTAATAGTCTGCTATAACAGATAACTCAATTTGTTTTATGTCATGGAGCCTAGCTTCTGATACTACAGAAATGTGTGATTTCTAAAATGTTTCAAACTTTTGGGCTAAACACTGGAAGTTGTATCAAGCAATTCTAACTATTGAAACACTTACTACCAATATTTCATATAATCTTGATTCAAAATATTATATAATAATTCCCTCTATCCAAGGAGTATGTGTTTCCAAGACTCCTGGCTGTGCCTGAACAATGGATAGTGCCAAATCCTATAGACTCTGATTTTTCTACACACACACACACATACTCACACACAGATGATAATTTATAAGTTAGGCATAATAAGAGATTAATAACAATAAAATAGGAGAAGTATAACATTATACTGTAATAAAAGTTATTTAAAAATCATGAATTTTTTTCTGGATTTTCTGTTTAATAATTTCAGACCATGGTTAACTCTATGTAACTGAAATTACAGAAAGCAAAACCAAGAATAGGGGGAAACCACTGTTTGTGTTTTCATGCATTTTTGTGATTTGCTTGTTTAAAACATAATGCCATTCCATATATTTCCACTGATAATCCAATTTGACCTAATAGTGCACAGTTTTCACACATGGTATTTTTGAAGGCATTTTGCATTCATTAAATGAGCTGGCTATTAACTTAAGAGTACTTCATACAGTCTATAACTTTTGTAATTCGTACTTATGTCAAATACTAACTGGAATTTTGAACAAGCCATCCAGATATTTTTGTCATAGCAATACTTTTAATTGAAACAAAGTATGATTCCCCAAATATTTTAAAATTTGAATACCTCTAAAATGTAAAATATTTGCCACTTATATAGTGCAGTAGGTTTTACATCTTATTTTCCAAATAACTTTGCTTAGGCACAAGAGCAGTTTATTTAAGACTATAGTAACTGGAATTCTGTGCTCAGTCATTCGAGTTTTAATCATCCTTGCCTAATTATGCCAATAAGGTTTTTGATAGAGCAATTAGTAAACTTTTTAAGACCCATACACTAGGTCTTTATGGTTTTGCTTCTAATATATATAAGAATACACATGTTTATAAATTTGTATAAGTTACATCTGATATTTTAAAATTAGAATGCAGATTGGCTGGAGATGTAGCTCAGTAGTGGAGTACTTACCTAATGTGTGAAAGGCCATGGGTTCAATCCCCAGCACCACCAAAAAAATGGAAGCAAAGCAATGAAAGAAGCTGTGAGTTTTGTTATGATATGCTGTGTTCCTAACAATTTTTAACATTTACCTTTATCAAAAGTCTTTAATGAAGTATTTTAAATTCCAGACAATATAACATTCTATTCTTATGTACTTGCAGAGTATATCTAAATATAGAACACCTTTATAAATAACCTAATACTATTATCACACATTATTAACAATAATTTATATTCTAATTCCTAGGGCATATTTCAATTTTCTTATCAATCAAAAAAATGATATTTGCTTGTATGATCAAAATTGAAACAACTTCACACACTGTATTTGGTTTTTAGGTCTCTTAAATGTCTTCTAATTGCTAGCCCAGTGCTTTCCAAAAGAAACTCTGCAGTGATGGAAATGTCTAATATGCTGCTGTCCAGTTTGATAGCCACTAGTCATATGTACTTATAATGTGACTTGTATCACTGGAGAACAGAATTTTCGATTTTATTTATTTTAAGTGACTTTAATAAACACATTTCCTCATTCTCTTCTTGGAATCAGCCATTTCCCCCAAGGTGCTCTTAGTCATTTCAGTGGGAAATTGTATGCAGAGATCAAAATCAGGGTGCTAAGTATGCCCATGGTTATGTGGATTGTCATTGACACACAATGAATAATAACTCAGAACTTTCCATATATCCCCTGATCTAAAATCTGTATGTAGATTAAATTAGTTAACTTAAATAAGTAGAGGCTTAAATAGAGGTTGTTATGCACAATCTTGTTATGTTTGTTTCTTAACTTGTTGTTCTTTCAAACACTTGTGACACCCTGGGCTATGTGATACTTAATCTTTTTCCAAAGAATTTGTGGTAGCTGCACAATCCTAATTGTATTTCTCTGTTTTTAAAGATGCTTTAATTTTAAACTATAAAAGCAAACATAGTGGCTGGGGATGTATCTTAGTGGTAAAGCACTTGCCTAATATGCTTGAGATCTTAGGTTTGATTCCCAGCATTGAAGAAAAACAAAAATCAAACAGTATCCTTAAAGTAAAATGTTCTGAGACATTTTGATATTTCTTTTTCTTGCATGGTTCATTATATTTGAGATTTTCACATTGTGCCATTGCCAGTACTCAGCCTTTCCCTCAAATTGTGTAAGGTAGAGATGGAGTCTAGAATCTTCTAAAATGCTCACAAATGTGAGGTAGTAGCAAAAATATTCAGCTTAGAAAGCTTGCTATTTGAGTAGGAAAGACAAATTCACTGTGAAATACCACTGGATTCTACCATTCAGAAATTACCCTGAGAGATACTGAGGCAGACATGCAGAGAAAAGACAAGGAGAAAACTCTGCCTATTTTCCTCAATATGCTTTCAATTTGTTGTACATGTTGAAATAAATACATTATGCTAATAAATATTTCTTAAGGTAGACATTTTACAAGTTATAACCTCCTGAACTTCTGTATTTTTCTCTTAAATTATAATTTCCTTTTATTCTTATTTAAAACTCAAGTGTAAAAGATATGTTCATATGCTTTTTACTCACTCACTTTCCTCTTTTTTGTAACCACAGAATGACAGCCTTAAATTTTAATTTCCTGACTTGGCTTGTCATGGCCTCACTTTTTTAAAACAGCGAATTTAATTTAAGTAAATTTCACAATTATTTCCCCATTATT